GGCGTCGTCCCCCCCCTTGGGTCCCCCCCCCCCCCTAACAATCAGACGCCATCAGGCAAATTTTTAGCTATACCTGCATAGTGTGAGAAGATAAAAAAAAAAAGATTGCCTTTAAAATGATCAGTGTCATGTTTTAAAAATGGCCTCATTGTTGCTTGTAGTCAGTTGAGAGGCATTTTGACGGGGTGGGTGTGGTGGTGGTCATGGGGCGGAAGGGGGGTAAAGACAACCCTTGGACAAATGATACAATACAATATTATTGGATCATGATTTATATAGCGCTTTCACGACAGCTGTAGCTGTAACAAAGCGCTTTATAAAATATTTCACAAAAAATAAAATAATAAACACAACACGACATAAAAACACGGACAGTCGTGCAATGTTAACCACGTTTCCCTTACACGCTTGGTTGTTTGAAGCAGTTCTAGATGAAAGAAGAGAGAATGTGTGCTTTCATCAGTGGATCAGAGACGTCATGCTCAAAATGTGCACACGTCTGCTACAAGCTAAATTTGAAAGTAAACAAAGAAGCTGTAGACGAAAAAAGAGATTGGTTCATTTCTCCTGTTCCATGTAAATCCGTTTCAATTCCAAGCGGCGACTCACAGTTCCAAATATACATTCCTCTCTCCTCATCATCGGCTCCCCAAGCCAGCCATCCATCCAGCCGCACCAAAGCAGACTGTCCAACAGCGCCGCCATCTCCGCTGAACAAAACGGGGCTGTGAAAAATGCTGCCCATTACAGGGGCAAAAAACAAAATTTTGGGGGGGGTGAATTTAACCTCCGCACTTCAAAACTCCTTATTTAACTTCATTTCTAATGAAGTCATGTGTTCATGGATTTATTGTAAAGTAAGGATGGAAAGATAACGGCGATAATAGAATTGCCACGATATCATCGTTGTCGTCATGTTACAACTATAAAGGCAGCATATCTCCGTCCAAAAACATTTCAGACGAACACAGCATTGTGAACTACATCGACCACAATACTTTGTGCTGCTGAGCCAAGAGCAACACAAATGACGATAAAATGACTTGCGAAGACTATTTCTTTGGCACTGCTGTTACAATACAATACATCTTTATCGATATCGATGTTTCTCATTGGAATGAATGGAAATGCATTCATTCCAGCCCGAAAATGAAAATGCAGTATGTTTACCCTATGTTTCAAATGTTTAAGTATGTTTGGCCACAATATTTCTTCAAAAATTTTCTTTGTACAGCAAAGAGGTTCTCTTGTGGTTGCGAGAAAACTTTGCTTGTGCTTTTTTTTTTTTTTCAATTGTTTGTGTGATTTACTGATGAATTTCTCCATTGTGCTACACAGATCTGGTGATAATGACGAACTAAACTAAGCTTCTTTAAGCGCCTTTCCTGAAATCGAGACGGACTCAAACAAACTGAAAAGTTGAAGGCGGGACAATTGAGCTACCGTAACCCAACGACACTAAACACGTGGCAGCCCTCGCCCTCGTTTGCGTTATCAAATGCCCAAAAACAGCAAAGCCGTCAAGAGAGAGCTTGACGACGATGTCACAGAGTCGGCCCGGGACCTGCTTTCCAACGAGGACCCCTGCGACGATTCCTTCAAGAAGAGCTCGTTGATCATTGGCGGCCATGACGCCGACGGCAAGGAGCGCGACGTGGAGGAAGGTGGCTCCGACGGCGACGAGGAGGAGGAGGAGCGGCCGGCCTGGAACAGCAAATTGCAGTACATCCTGGCCCAGGTGGGCTTCTCCGTAGGCCTCGGCAACGTCTGGAGGTTCCCCTACCTGTGCCAGAAAAATGGCGGCGGTGAGTGAAATGACCGTTAGTGCTCCAGTAGATTCTGTCATGGTAGCTGCACAATGTTGTGTGCCTCCATGTTTATTGTCCAGGGAGCCACACAAGTGTCGTGTGTCCATGTTTATGTTCTGGGGGGCTTTGACATAAATTGCAACATATCCTCAAAGTTGTTTCGTCAACTTCATACTTTATACCGCAGGTGTCAAACTCAAGGCCCGGGGGCCAGATCTGGCCCGCCAGATCATTTTATTGGGCCGACAAAAGCAAATCAATCAGGTCAACTTCCATGACGCATGCTAAAATCTGTAGCAAATTTCAAATTGTCATATGTAATAATCATGTTGAGCTCCTGCAACTATTTTCTTGTTTTACATAATTACAGAAACTTAAACAACGGTGGAATAAACTACCCTCCTTGACTTTTGATTTCAAAATTGGTTATCTATTAAATGTGTACTGTATATGTAATAATACGAGGAGGTGTTTAAACATTTATACGGTTTCACAGTCATCATGGCCCTCTGAGGGAAACCGGGCCGACGATGAGACCCGCGACAAAAATGAGTTTGACACCCCTGCTTTATTCAATGCCTTTTGTTAAAGTTTACCCCCATAATATGAATAACCTGTCATTGGCATGTCGTCGAACCTGAACCGGCTTCAAAAATGTATCGGACACTCGTAGTTCTTCGCATTAATTAACGAGAACTTTATTCATCATCGTCGTAGAAGTCGTAAGACCCAACTCACACCAAAACGCCAGAAAGCGTCACAGCACTATGACTTTATTCTCGGCACAATTTCCTCATATGACGTTAGTGTTTTACTTTTATACAGTGAGGTGCCCGGCACACTCATCATGCGGTGAGTCAGGTCGTTCCCCATGAGGCGCCCAGAGAGTCAGGCCTGTTTTAAACAGCTCTGGTCGCCCCGTTGTGTTCACGTGTAATTGGATTAAAATGACACATCTGGGACCCAAAGCAGACCCATCGCCAACACACACACACACCAGAAACCTCAGCGTACTTCTTAGCTTTCAACTACTAAAAGATACAAATTTCCTTTCTTGGGTGCCGCGAGTCGTGTGGTACTGTCGCTTTAAGAATGCGCAGGCCTGAGTGGAAAAAGGATTCAGCGTCTACTGTACTCAACTTTAGGCTTTGTCATTGAGTGATTCAGCTGCCGGTTGACGACAAGAAAGGGAGTCTGTGAAACAAGCAAAATGTAGCATACATGTTCTCAAACATCACCCTTTTGGGGATAAATAATGATAACCTACATCAAGATTTTTTGACTTTTTTTCAAGTGTTTTTGTTAGTCTTAAGGCATGAAAAATAATGGCAGTGGATGGCAACAGACATAAGGGTCCATTGTAGTGGTTGAATGCCTCTCGACCTTCACAAATGGCTCCACCAATTCTTGTAAATTAACAACACTTTCGGAGGACAGTCGCGATTCCTTACTGTACAACCCAATGCAGATGGCTTTGTGCTTTTGGAAAGATAAAAAGGTGCTACGGTCAGAATGTTTGCTCTTGGGAAGACAATGGGAGACCACCTGGGAGGTGGGTGTGGATTTCAAGCTGATTAATATCTCCGCCCCTCTCCCTGGAATGAAACAGAATAAGATGATCTAATTGTTAAGCTTCCATGCACGTAAGTGTTACACCAAGGAGGGGCATTGAAACTTAAAGAACATCCTGCTGGGGAGAAATAATAAACCAAACTCTCATTTGGACAAGGATTAAACTAACCGTCATACACTACGCACGTGGTCAGATTGCGCAAGGCAGTGACGCGTACCTAAAAAGAAATCAAAACAATGATTTTGTGTGCATGAGTGAGTTCGAAAAAGGACCAAAATTGTGCACTTGCATCATGTAGTTTTGAAAGGCGTGACGCAACGCCGCTTCAACTGATTTTTCGAGCGCAGGCGGAAGTGCGCCAAAAGCTGGACTGTGACCGACTTTCCACTTCTTCCCGACTGCTGTTATTTGATGAAGCCACCTCGAGGACAGACACTTGCATCACGGGAATTATGCCTGTGTGGTAATCCTGTTTGAGAAGGGTGGCGTCCCTTACGAGCAACTGATAAAGCCTGTCGAAAATTGAATCCGGTAATACTGTATGTCTTTTTTGTGGTTCAATTCATTTACATTTGTCGAGATGTGAAGTAGAATTTGGTTCTCCTGAGCTGTGAGCTATAATTATGACAATGACATAAAAGGAAGAATGAAATATCTCACTCATAATTTGTTTGAGTTTCGCTTTTTGAAGTGAACTTCAAAGATAAATAAAATCATTCTAATTTATTGAGATGAACCTCAAGCTGGAAGCTTGACGAGCTCTTGCAGACGGCTGCCAACTATGATGTTTCTTGCATAACCTAAAGAGATCAAATACAGCGGGCCTCCCTCAGATTCAACTGTTCGTTGATTAAAATTTTGTTGTAGGTGGGTTTTATTTGGGGTGTTGGGGGCATGTCTTGTCCAGGGAAACCAAGACAACGAAAGTCTTTTCAACAATTTACAGATCGATGATGGAGCGACTCCCCAAGCAGTGGGGCGCGGCCCTTCTTAGACCATTTTTTTTTCTTCTTGGGAGAGATTAAAGTCTGGCGCGCAACCTTGAGGCAGCAACGAACTTGCGTAGTAACACTTACTGATAGCAGGATGTGTGATACAAGTTAGCAGTTAATTTTAAGATACAGGTCAACATTGTTAAATGTCAAATTTCCACTACAACTTCCCTCATTTTGTTGGAAGTTTAACAGCATTTTTTTTTTTTTTAAACAACCCCAAAAAAAAAAAATCCAATGTATTTCATTGCTTCCTGAACATTCAGTGGGAAGTCATTCCAAAGAGAGGGACCAGCAACGGAAAAGGCTCAATCCCTTCTGAACCTCCGCTTAGATCTCGGTACCTCGAAAAGTACACTCTCATAAAGCCGCGACTAACAATTATTTTAATCGAGTAATTTGTCGATTAAATGGATGAATTGTATTTTAACCCTTTCGTGCACCATGTAACCTAAGATGTCAACTGTAGTACCCGCTGTCCCTAAAAGGGTTCAAAATTAATTACAATCCCTTTATTCAAAAAAAAAAAAAAAAAAAATCTAATCAAATAGAGCGGGGGTGTCAAACTCGTTTTTGTCGCAGGTCACATTGTAGTTATGATTTCCCTTGGAAGGCTGTTATGAATTTTAGGAAACCATATAAATGTTTCATCCCCTCCACATATTACATTCACAGCGCACAACAAATTGATCAATAACTATTTTTACAATTGACTGTTATTGCAGATTACATATGGCAATATGAAATTTTGGTTCACGCTTTAACAAGCATCATGGAACTTAACATGCTTGATTTGCTTTTGCGAGCCACATAAAAGGGTGTGGCGGACCAGATCTGGCCCTCGGGCCTTGACTTTGACATCTGTGAAATAGACAGTCAAGAAAATTTTCGGTCTCTTAAAGTATTCATTCATTCATTTTTGATTCATTTGTTCGTAAATTAGTTGCTGATTAGTCGATTAATCGTTGCATCTCTACTGTATTGGCTTTTTTTTTTTTTTTTTTAACAATGTGTCCCGCATCTGTTATTAGGAGCGTACCTGGTGCCCTACTTGATCCTGCTCGTGTTGATTGGCATCCCGCTTTTCTTCCTGGAGCTGGCAGTCGGTCAGCGCATCCGTCGGGGCAGCATCGGCGTGTGGAACTACATCAGCCCTCGACTGGGGGGTATCGGCTTCGCGAGCTGCGTGGTGAGTCCCGCGCTCTCCCCATGGCATGCTGGTTAAAATCCAAACAGTTTAAAAGTTTTAAAGGGCTCCCTTTTGCGGCTCACAAAAGGAGGAAAAAAATAGCTAGTACTCATTATTAGCTCAGTATACATAGACGCATACGGGATGCTGACGCCTGGCCTCTCTAAAGCCCCTCCCCCCCCACCAATAATACACGCTCTGTGCAGGTGTGTTTCTTCGTGGCTCTCTACTACAATGTCATCATCAGCTGGAGCCTCTTCTACTTCTCGCAATCCTTCCAGCAACCGCTGCCGTGGCACCAGTGTCCGCTGGCCAAGAACAGGAACAGCACATGTAAGCTAGATAAATGACACGTGGAAAAATGTCATGTTTTGAGAATAAATGACATTACAAAGATACTTTTTGGTTTTTGGTACTGTTGTGGTGCCTGAGTGTGAGAAGAGTTCGGCCACCACCTACTACTGGTACCGCGAGGCCCTGGACATCTCCGACAAGATTTCAGAGAGCGGAGGACTTAACTGGAAGATGACGCTGTGCCTGCTGGCCGCCTGGTCTATGGTCTGCCTGGCCATGATTAAGGGCATCCAGTCTTCCGGGAAGGTATGCTTGTCATCTCTTGTTCTTCGAGGGAACTGGGGGAAAGGTCTCGGCCCACATAGCCAGGTTAAATGTCGTATTGGATATTGGGAATGGCGTTCATAAAACAAAAGGCCAATTCTTGCCAAAGTGTTTGGGAAATCCTCTCACACCCCCGTTAGCTTACAGTAGGGTGGAAAAGCTTACAAAGCGCGAACTGTATGGATGCCTTGTCAGCAAACACGCGCTTGGATTGCTCATTTATGCTCAGTTTGCAATTGCAATAGCAAAAAAAAAAAACAAAAAACCAAGCAAAAAAAAAAAAAAAAAGATGCAAGGGTGTGAAATTAATGTTTGCAGTGTTGGGGGGGGGTGGGTCAGATTAACCTAAAAAGTTGCAACGGACCCGTCATTCAAAACAAAGAAAAAAGTGAAAAGTTGCAATGTTATTCAATGAAGTTATAATTGACCGAGAACAAAATGAAGTTTTTACTGCATAGTGCCGAAAACAGCAATGCTGTATGGTTAAAGTTACAGTATTGCAAGAACAGTCCAAAACTTACTCACAAAAAAATAAAAAATTAATGCTACGTTACGTCCAAATATTGAAAAAAAAAAAAAAAAGAAAATTGTAATATTGTAAGAAATAAGTTGACGTGAATGAAGCCCTAATTTTATCAAGGAAAAAGTTACAATGATAAAGTTGCAGACTAAAGATGCCATGAACAGGATGTTTTTTTTCCCCTTCTGTTACATTGAAGATGTGACTGTATTGTGGGAAAAAAAAAAGTGACAATGTTAATCATGGCAAGACATGTTACGACCATAAAGTAGTAATTTAACAGCGAATGAAATTGTCATCTTCTGAGTGTCAGGCTGTAACGGTAATAGAAAATAAAAGAATTACCGTATTTTCCGCGCTATAAGGCACTTTGGAGTATAAGGTGCACCTTCAACCAATGGCCTATTTTAAAACTGTTTTCATATTGACGGTGCACCGCATTACAAGACACAGAATAGTAACTGCACTGGTGGCTGCGGTTGCATTGTGGATCCACTAGATGGAGCTACGCTAAAGGGAATACAATACAATACAGCTTTATTTATATCGAGCTTTCACAATCGCTGCAGCCGTAACAAAGCGCTTTACAGAACATTTAAAATAAGACGTCCAAGAAATCAGAATATTGATCCGTATATAAGGCGCATCGGATTATAAGGCGCACGGTCGGCTTTTGAGAACATTGACATGCTTTTAGGTTCGCCTCGTAGTGCGGAAAATACAGTGATTAAAAAAAAGAAGACAAAAGGATAATGTTGCGAATGTATTTTTGTAAAAAAAAAAAAATGCAACGCTATGAGAATGAACTGATAAGCATCGGATTATAAGGCGTACTGTCGGCTTTTGAGAACATGGACATGCTTTTAGGTGCGCCTCGTAGTGCGGAAAATACAGTGCTTAAAAAAAAGAAGACAAAAGGATAATGTTGCGAATGTATTTTTGTAAAAAGATGCAAGGCTATGAGAATGAACTGGTTAGATGAAAAAAAGAGAGAGAGAGGGAGAGAATCAAGTGGTCAAATTCCGTGGTGGGAGCATAAAAAGATGTTAAGAAGTGTCATCCTTGGTCGCTCATGTGATTTTCCTGGAGGGATTCGATACTTCAGCTTATCTCCCCACGCTGACCTCCAGCATCAAAAGCTGACAGTAACGAGACTCGCATCCGGATGGATTAAGACTTTAGCATACCTCCCTTTTTAATCATTCCATTGTTTGTCATGTGACAAGTATTAGCTGCCGGACATTCGGGGGTCAAGCCGGAGCTAATTGGAAAAAAAATGGACGCAGCATTTCATCTTACACGAGGAAAGCTTTGATGCTTTTGACATTTGGATTTGGTTTGATCCCATCTTCTTGCGTCACGCCTCGACGACGCTAATGATGCACCTTATGTGTCACGAATCATTTTCACCTTTTTTGTTGTAAGCTTTAATGGACCCATAACAAGTTATTCATTCATTCATTCATTCTTCGATCCATTTTATCCTCACAAGGGTCGTGGGGGGTGCTGGAGCCTATCCCAGCTGTCTTCGGACAGTAGGCGGGGGACACCCTGAACCGGTTCCCAGCCAATTGGAGGGCACACACAGAGACGAACAACCATCCACGCTCGTACTCACACCTAAGGACAATTTTGAGTGTTCAATCAGCCTGCCATGCATGTTTTTGGAATGTGGGAGGAAACCGGAGTACCCAGAGAAAACCCACGCAGGCCCGAACATGCAAAACTCCACACAGGGAGGCCGGAGCTGGCATTGAACCGGGATAGCTCTGCACTGTGAGGTCGACGCGCTAGCCACTGGACCACCGGGCCGCCCACAAGTTATTTCATTCATTTAAAAAAAATAAAATAAAATAATTAATCGGTCAGTGAATCAGTTATCAAAATTTGATTGGATTTTGAATGTATTTCGACGACGTTTGGTTTGGTAGTTTAAGGTGAAGACCAGAATTCATCATTATCAGTTATTCTTGATCTGGGCGTGACATCACGGACCGAATGATGCAATTTTAATATGAATAGAATTTAGAATACAGACGTCACGTATTTTGATGACATTTGGCTGCTCGCTTCAGAATGACCCGAGAACGAATCGATGTTAAGTGTCAAGTAAGTCAACAGCAGTTAAGGTGAGGAAGAGGACTTGACGCTTAAGTTCGCTGTTGTCTCTGCCAAGACGACTGTCTTGGCGTTGCCATTATCTGCTGTTTATTCGCGACGGCCGTCTAGCTTTTTGTCCCACTATCCAAAGGGGAAGGTTGAGACAAAACAAGATGGATGCCCTCAACAGCGGAGGTCCTGAAATCTCTGCCATCTTGATTTGTCGCGCCAGACCGTCCCCATTTTGCTTCGGCGGCTTGAAATGTCGCCGATAGCCAATGCCATTGTCAAGACACTATCTTCCGTCGCCACTCTCGTCTATTTTAGTGCTGTCACTGCAGTAATTGGGCAACAAACGGTGGATGGAAATAATCCTTAAAATATCCAGAATTTACGTGGATGTTTTCCCTGGTGTGTCTAGACAGATTTTGGGGTAGATATGAGTCCAAACTGTCCCTTGGAGAAGCCCCACGAGGCGTCTTGCAAGGGTGAGCACAAAAGAATATTAATGGAGCTTTTCTTCCTCCAGTGTGCACAAAGACCTTTTTTTTTTTTTTTTTTTTTGCAAGGAATATCCTTGTTTGAGCGTGGGTGGGCGTGAAAGGGATCTGGTTGCCATGGTTACACGCGCTCTTTTAGCTTGGCTTGATTTTCAGAGATGGGCAGGGGGATTGGAGTGTGCATGGGGGGGTTAGCACAGGGGGCAGGATGGTTTGGTCAAGAAGAATAATTTAAGCAGGGCTCCTTTAAAAAAAAAAAAAAAAAAAAAAGAAATCTAACTCATCCGAGGGATTTTGTCTTGATTAATAAATCCGAAGCGTGGATTCTAGACAGATGGGAGATGCGAGATTATGAAACATTTGAGTTTTCGTTATTGTGCGTGGTTGGAGCATTTCAGCTAAATTCGGTGACTTTGTTTTAGTGCAGTTGTACTCTCTCCAGTTTTGGAAAATTCAGCCTCACTTTTCAACAGTGCAGCCACAGTTACCTTGCCAGAATGATGCGTTTAAACCTTTAAAAAGGAATTTAGCCATTTACAGATTACCGTATTTTCCGCACTATAAAGCGCTTTGGATTATAAAAGGCACCTTCAATGAATGGCCTATTTTAAAACTATTTTCATATGTTGGACACACCACATTATAAGGCACATGGAATAAAAACTACGATAGTGGCTGCAGTTGCGTTATGTAGCCAGTAGATAGAGCTAAATGCAATACAATACAATACCGCTTTATTTATATTGCGCTTTCGCAACGAAGCACTTTACAGAACATTTATAATACTATGTCCAAGATATCAGAATATTGATCCATGTAGAATGCGCATTGGATTATAAAGTGCATTTTCGGCTTTTGAGAAAATAGCTTCCTTTTAGGTGTGCCTTACTGTGCGTAAAATACGGTACTTGCCTTGAAAGGTCACAAAGTTAGATTGCAAGTGACTTTATTTGTTCGATTCAGCAGCTGCATGAGGCACATTAATCAGCACTTACACAATAAATGTTATCAGAAACAAGTTAAAGGACTGCACAAGAATGTTATGTAAGTCCTATTTACTGACGTAAATCGTGGCACTTGCTAAAGTAACGAACTTAGCATAACTTGCGAAAATTTGCACAACACGGACCTGACGATTGTATACACCCGAAATTGTGATTATCAACCCAGTTCTTATGAATCCAAACTCTGGGAGGAGATCATTCACTTTGGTAATCTGTGGAATCCTGCTTGGGGCGGAGTTTGAATCGCTTTGTCACTCTCAGTATCATCGCTTACCCGCATTTTTTATTATTTTTATTTTTTTAACCTTTGCTGTGCTTGCTCTGCCAGGTGATGTACTTCAGCTCGCTGTTCCCTTATGTGGTGCTGATCTGCTTCCTGGTACGCTCGCTACTCCTGGAGGGCTCCATGGACGGGATTCGACACATGTTCACGCCCAAGGTACGGCACAGTCTTGCAGTCAATGTCTGTTCTCCGACGTTTTTTTTTTTTTTAGTTCAACAAAAAGTCACACTTGGAAGTTTCCCAGAGAAAATGATCAAAGAATCTATTTATAGAAATAAAGAACAATTTTTAAAAATGATGTTTCTTTAAGTACCAAAAGACACAGTACATCAAATAAGCCAGTCTGGAAAGAGAAGGAAAAAAAAACTGTCTGGAGAAGAAAAAAAAAAAAGATCGGTGTGCTTTGATTGGCTGACATCTCAACAATAACACACCAGTCACCTTCCAAGGCTGTGTGTTCTGCAGCAGCTTCCATTGCCATGGAAACAAGAATAGTTTCAACATAAATCACTCAAGAGGGCCTGGCGAAGACCGTTGCCATAGAGCTCTGTCGCCCTCTTGTGGACACATAGTACCCGACAACGCCATGCATTCGGATCAGTCAACCGCAAACAAAAGCGTTCTAAATAAAAATAAATAGTTCAATAAAAGTAAAATTCTTCACATGGGCACATTTCTTACCACTGCTTGAATTAGAAAAAAGAAAGTTGAAATAATAGTGGCCAGTTTGTTAGTTATTTTATTTTTTAATACGGTCAAATATTCCAGTTTTTTTTTTTAATACGACATGGCGTTAGAAAAAAAAAAATTTTTCACCCCAGAGAAAATTATCTTTTTTTTTGAGGAAAAATGAATTGATTCTATGAGAATTTATGTGTACATTTTTAAGGGAGTAGAATTGTATTTTTTGAGGTGGGGGGAGTACTAATTTTATAAGAATGAAGGCATTAATTTCTAGAAATAAAGTTGAATTTTGGAATAAAAAAAAAATCTGGTTGAAATTACAATTGTTGTTTATTATTTTTTTAAGAAAAAAAAACTTATTTTCTTACAAGAATAAAGTCAACATCTTTCAAAAATAAATTTACAGTTTGGGATAAAAACTTAACAAGAATAAATTCAATTTTTTTTTCAAGAATTTAAAAAATTCTCTTCATATTTGACTTCATTTATTCTCATTTCTCACGGCCTTAATCCTCCTGCTAAAAGAGACACAACCCCATCATGGGACAATTTAAGGTTGTCTAATTATATGAGAGTTTGCCAGATTGTTTATTTTAAATATTTTTCTTGATTCTTATAGCATTAGAACTTCATTTGATAACATGAGCTAGCTCACCATTCCCGTTCGTTTGTGTGTGTGTGTGTGTGTGTGTGTGTGTGTGTGTGTGTGTGTACCAGCTGGAGATCATGCTGGAAGCCAAGGTGTGGCGCGAGGCGGCCACGCAGGTGTTCTTCGCGCTGGGTTTGGGCTTCGGCGGTGTCATCGCCTTCTCCAGCTACAACAAGCGTGACAACAACTGCCACTTTGACGCCGTGCTGGTGTCCTTCATTAACTTCTTCACGTCGGTGCTGGCCACCCTGGTGGTGTTCGCCGTCCTCGGCTTCAAGGCCAACATCATGAACGGCCAATGTGTGGCGGAGTGAGTCGTCGCCTCCTCGTGTTTGTTGAAGAATTAGGATTTCTCAAAAGTCAAGCAGAGTCACAAGGAAGTCAAATAAGGAAAAGTGTGACATTTAGGATAACGCAAGATGGTGGAACAAACAGGTCTGGTAGTACTGGTAGTACTACAATGAGACAACTAGCCATGGGCCAATATTAGAATCTGACGATATAACCGTGAGCAAAAATATGGCAGTGTCACGTTATCAAAAAATAATAGCCATAAAAGGGCCTTTTTTGAAACATTTGAGCAAATTGAAATAGCATTTGTCTTCCCCATCAAACATAATTTTATTTTATATGGAAACAAAATCAACAATATTTTGGTACATAACACACATGTACCATGTAAATAAATCAATAACTAGATGTTAACATTCTTCATAGTGAGTCACAGTGTCCCATCCCTGGGGAGCTATTTTGCCCTAACTCGTAATCGCTGTGGGACCATTTTTGTTTTTGTCTGTTTAGGACAATGTCCATTCATCACCCATCCATTCGTTAGATGTATGACTTATCCTCACAAGGAGCAAAAAGGCATCCGTGTTTGAAGTGCTCAGCCCCTCCTCCTCCTCCTCCGTGGCTAACTGCTCACCCCTCCCCTCTCTGCTCACTGAAAAGGTGAAAAAAAAAAAAGATAATTGGAGGTAATTCACTTTATCGAGGTGGCTTATGCAGAGCTCGTTACTGGTGATACCCAGTATTCGCGGGAATTGAAACTTTGACTTTTTAAACCCACGGTAACCCCTCAAACCGGAAATCGAGCTGTACCGACAGGCGATAAATAAAAAAATCTAATCAAATCGTCATACTTGAGGTCTGTGTTTGGTTTTAGGAAACATCGGCGATCGTTTTGATTCATCTTAAAACAGATCATTTCCAACCCCGCACGTTTTTCCGCGTAAAAATTCTTGTATTCAATTTTTGTAGCAACGGCAGAAAGATTGCGGCTCTGCTGGGCAACGGTATCGAGGCCAACCTGATCCCCAACCACATCAACCTCAGTCACAAAGTGAGCGTGGATGACTACCATCAGATGATCGAGATCATCAGAGGCGTCAAGGAGGGCAACTTTGACAAACTGGGACTGGACTCCTGCCACATCGAGGACGAGCTCAACAAGGTATGCACATAAACGGCAACGGTATCCATGTCCGTTAATACGTTACTTTAAAAGAAATGTTGGAAAATTAGGAGAATAACGTCAGATTTTTGTGTGCATAAAACATTACAACATTAGTAGTATTGTTTTGTTCCCTCGCGGTGGAGAGGCGCAGGGTTCAATTCCGGCTCCGGCCTTCCTGTGTGGAGTTTGCATGTTCTCCGGGTTTTCTCCGGGTACTCTGGTTTCCTCCCACATTCCAAAAAAAAAAACATGCATGGCAGGCTGATTGAACACTCTGAATTGTCCCTTGGTGCGCGAGTGTGAGCGCGGATGGTTGTTCGTCTCTGTGAGCCCTGCGATTGGCTGGGAATTAGTTCAGGGTTGCTTGAAGTCAGCTGGGATAGGCTCTAGCATGACCGCGACCCTAAATGAGGATAATCGGATCTGTAACTGGCTGGCTGGATGGAAAATATGTGGGAAAACTTGATTTTTTTTTTTACGAGAAACTATAATATTTTTCATGAAAAAGTTGCATTTTTCTAAGAAAAGTAGCAAAATGTTAATTTTGGGAGTAAGTGCCAAGCATCCACTGGGGGTTACCCACCCGCAATCTGCCCTCACTCCCTCCCTCCACCAGGCAGTGCAGGGCACAGGCCTGGCGTTCATTGCCTTCACCGAGGCCATGACGCATTTCCCGGCCTCTCCCTTCTGGTCCGTCATGTTCTTCCTCATGCTGATCAACTTGGGCCTGGGCAGCATGTTCGGCACCATCGAGGGCATCCTCACGCCGCTCATCGACACCTTCAAAGTGCGCAAGGAGCTCCTGACCGGTCAGCGAAAACACAAAGAATGAAATTTGCAACTTCCCACGACCGCTTATGTATGATCACAGCGAGAGGCTGGCGTGTTCCTTATGTTGTGACCTTCTCTCTCGTGGTACAGTGGGCTGCTGCGTGCTGGCCTTCTCCCTCGGCCTGGTGTTCGTGCAGCGTTCGGGCAACTACTTTGTGACCATGTTCGATGACTACTCGGCCACGCTGCCGCTGCTCATCGTGGTCATCCTGGAGAACTTGGCCATCGCCTGGTTCTACGGCATCGACAAGTACGGACGGGCTTCACTGATTCGCAAGTTTTTAAAAAGTAGAACCATGTTGGGCAAAGCTTGAACGTGCTCGAGGGGCACGTATCATTTTAAAAACAGACGGACAGATGGTTGTGCGGTATTTTGATCTCATTGAATCCGAAAATTATGAATCATTTTTCATCAGCCAGTTATTTGATAAAATATATTTTAAGGTGAGAGGGTTTACTGTACTTTATTTCCGTCGGGTTTATTGACAGTGATCAAATAATTCCTATATCCAAAGATTTTTAACGTGAAGAAAACGTGTATTCGTCCGCTTAGGGTGAGCTGTTAGCTTGGTATTTTTTTTTTTTTGCTACCTGGAGTACGAGCTCACCTGTGGTGTGGTCCTGTCAGGTTTTTTGCGGACCTGGAGGACATGCTGGGCTTCAAGCCGTACCGCTTCTACTACTACATGTGGAAGTTCATCACTCCCACGCTGCTGCTGGTGCTGCTCGGCTCCAGCTTCGTCCAGCTCATCATGACGCCGCCCAGTTACAGTGCCTGGAACCAGGAGCAGGTCGGGAGCCTCGTTGCCTGCGTTCACCGCGTTGTCATCAATTCACAATCTGTCCCCAAAATTGGGAAATTGTCATCCATCCAACATGCGCAATTTTTGACAAAAAAAAAAAAAATCATTACTGCCGGCTACTGAGCAGTGTGACCGTCTGTGTGTGTGTGTGTGTTTAATCTGTGTGTGTGTGTGTGTGTGTGTGTGTGTGTGTGTGTGTGTGTGTGTGTGTGTGTGTGTGTGTGTGTGCAATACAGTACCTTATGTTGCCTCAATGCTTGTTTCCCAGCGTTCCTCTTCCGTATTAACGCTAAGTGTGGTCTGCGGTGCAGGCTCGGGAGAAGCTGGTGGGCTTCCCTCCGTGGGGTGTGGCTTTGTGTATCTCCCTTGTGGTGGTGGCGGTGTTGCCCGTGCCGGTGGTCTTTATGCTGCGCTACTTCAACGTGATCGACGACGGCGCCGGCGGCATCTCGACCGTGTCCTACAAGAAGGGCCACATCATCAAGGAGAGCGCTGGCGCAGCCGGCGAAGGCGACGACGCCGCCAGCCTCCTTCACGCCAAGACCACACCGAGCGAGGCGCCCTCGCCCATGCCCGCCAACGGCATCTACCGCAAGCAGAGCGGCGGCGGGGGTCCCGAGTCCGACGCCGCACCCAATGGTCGCTACGGCATCGGCTACCTGATGGCCGACGTGCCGGACATGCCCGAGTCAGACTTGTAGAGTGGCCCCCTTCTTCCCGTCTAGTCATCCGTGTGTGTACCGCATACTCCTTGTTCAACAGCCTAGCTGCTTTATTTCTTATCATTTCTTCGTCGTCTCTGAACCTGAACATGTTCAAACAACAAACCAAGGGGCGGGAATGTACACTCACCCAACACGGGTCACTTCATTAGGTACACCATAGCCCTGCCGGGAATAGCAGAAAACCGTCAAGTTAACTGACGCCACTCCCACTCCCAAAAAGCGTTATAATTGCCTTTAAATGTTACAAGATGGCACCAAAGGTCTACTTTTGTATTAGGCCTTTAGCTTGTCCAATGAAAGCTCCTCCCCTGACTTCAACACAGTTCCTTGGTACCAAGCTGCTACAAGGTGGCTCCAAAAGGTCAACTTTTCTATTCGACGGCACTTTGCCTGCCTGTTAGATGCTATACATTGACGCCAAAGCACAATTTGTCCATTGGACAGGGCTTTGATATCTCATAATAGCACTCACTTGAACATAGCTTTTTGACACTAAGATGACACCAATGCACTCCTTTTCTATTAGACTTTTCGAATAGAATGTCCTCCTCTTACTTCAACATAGTTCCTTAGAGCCAAGATACCAATGAGACGTCACCAAAGTTCTACTTTTGCCTCAAGATGCCCTAAGTCGGCACAGAAGCACTACTTTTCTATTAAACAGGGTTGACAGGTCGAATGGAAAAGCGCCTCCATCGTTCTACATTCGTTCCTTAGCACCAAAACGCCACAAGGTGGCGACAAAATGCAATTTCCTACTGGACAGGAATTTCGCATTTCAGAAAATGCACAGTCATGAATGAAGGATAGCTGCCCCCCCCCCCAAAAAAAATCGACAAGAAGGTGAATTTGCGAAAGTAGAATTTGCAAGGAATTAGTGCAAATCAGACTCAGCGAACTAATGGACGGATCTCTTAGTTTGCCCATGTAGCCGTCGGCCAAATGCAGTACTTAAATGCAGTATGGACAGCATTCTCGAGTGCAATGTTTTTCCAACAATTTTTCTCGGATTTTAGATTTGCATCAAATGCTTCACGGCCATGTGATGGCCTTTGGACCGTAAGTTACCCATCAAACTAATGAAATTGCGACAATCAATGTCATATTGACGGCTTTGATGAGCGTTTTTCAGATCTGTTATCGATACAACTTGATGAGATGATGTAAAAAAAAAAAAACAAAAAACATGATTTTGATTGAAAACGTTGAAAATTTGCATGAGTTTCCCACCTTTTATCTCGATCAAATTGTCATCCTGACGAACCGCGCTTCATATTACATTCATGTTCCATTATTTTTCGCCGTTTTGATGAAATGAAAATATATAATATTGCTTCAAAAATTTTAATATTCACCATGTATTATCAGTGAGAAACTCTTTTCCTCTTAGTTTTTAGAATTGTATGGCGGGTTGAATTTAATGCTCTCGCGGGCCGAATACGGCCCACGGGACAAGAGTCGCCAAGCCCAAATCTTGATTAAAATTTACTGGGGGAAAGGCCGAGATGAGCGCATTTGAGTTCTGCCGTTACTTTGTCAATTTGATGTCATGAATTGAAGCGATAGTTAAAAAAAAACATAACTACAAACAATTTTGTATTGAAATGCATTAACAGGTGTACCTAATGAAGTCTCTGGTGAACGTGTGAATTTTCCCTTGGCCCCGCCCCCTTCCACCCTCACTTACTCGATCTTTGGATCCCTCCTTGCTGCTGAAGAAGGAAGTGTGAGCAATAAAGGTGGACGTGCCACCGAGCCTACGTGAAGAAGCAGCAAGAAGGTGCGCGCGCGCGTGTGTACACGCAAAAAGTTCCACGATCGTTCGAGGCAAACGAGTGCCTACACTGCATCGTCATTTATAGAATACGCCATGTTTGTATAGTTACAGTATTCTGTAAATATAAATATATTTATCTGCTTTGTTTTGATGAATGTTTTAAAGGTTCAGTCATCAAATCATTATTATTAACGTCATCGTTTTGTTTTTTTTACTAACGTGTTTGTGAGGGCCGAGTCCTCGTCCTTGTAAATAGTTTTGTTTTTATCCATGAAATGGCTTGAAAACATGTGGCAGAGAAATGTATTTTTCCCCTTCCTCTTCCTCGACATTAAACATGAAATATGACCCCGAAACAAGATTCCAGGTCTCTGCTGACTTTGATGATGACCATAAATCTGGGACTTTAAACCGGTATGCAAAGAATAAAAATAATAAAGTGACATTTAACATTATATTTTAGCATTTGAAGAAATGAATATTGCGGCCACTCCTTAGTCTGGCCTCATTCAATTAAATTATTAAAACTGTTGCAAATGTATTTTTACACTTGGCAAAAAGTGATGCAAACCATAGACAGGAACGAACCATTTCAGTAAAAACCGTCTTGTGTTTATTCAGTCAATCATTTGAGGGGTGTTAGCATGACCTGAAACAGCTGATGTCATTAGCATTGTGGCTAATGCGTTTTTTTTTGTTTTTTTTAAGCCAGTGGTTGGCTTTTGTGTAGTAGCTATGCTAATGTTGCTCGTGGGCCCTGATGTAGAACACTTGTGTCCCTTTAAAAATCTCTTCGTTTGCTCCAGCGTGACTCCTCAACATTACAATTATCCATTTGTTCTGAATTTAAGGTTCCTCTTTCATTCAAGAAAGCACTGAGGTCATCTTTATCCCTTTGCCGCCAACGTTCTGAAAATCAGAAAAAAAAAAAGTTATATTTAGACACATTGTAATTTTACATATACATATTTATAACGTTGAAAATAAGACATTAGTCAACCTTTGCGTTCAGTCATAGTTGTGTAGCTGTTCTCTCATCCTGGCCGCAATGTGTTCTCTCCTCTCACTGTGTTTGTTCAAGTCTTTGACCTCAGAGGGCAGCGTGGCGTTCCACACCATCAACACCGACTGAGCGTCTGGGGGCGCACAAAACAAGCGCACTGAACTGAACAGGAGTCCACATGGAAATCCTGGCAAGAGTCATGCACCCTCACCCACCCCACTCGCTCTTGTCCTGCGGGAGTGTTCTGCCCAACACCAGCACCGCATTCTTACAGTTTAGCGTCTCTGTGAAGAAGGAGATGAAAGAAATATTGATGGAAATATTTGGTCCACAATATAAATGTTCATCAATACATTATCTGTTTGATAATTTAGATTCTTCAAAGTCTCAACATTTGGGATTTTTTTGTGGGGCTGTCAAGGAATTAAAAAAAAAAGAGTTCCCAAGATGTCCTGGATGAGCTGAACAATGTGAAGTCGGAATGATGTGGAAGGAGAAGGTAAACGTAAACAATCTGAAAATTTTGGAATTTGGGGAAAAGCGACTTTTTGGTACAGAATAACATACGAGTCAATGATCAATAATTCTAAGAATGAGATCCACCAATGAACGCCGACGCGATGCCTCGTAGCGAGTGGCATCTCGGCGGGATGACTCGCAGCGCGTGGTGCTTGTTGCCCAGCTCCAGAAGCAGCAGGTGGCCGCCTCGGGTGCCCACCCACAGCGTGGCCGAATCCTGCCCAACCAGCAGGGACTTGACCCGCGCCCACCGGGCCCAAGACGGGGAGCTGTCGACGGGTACGTCTGCAACACCGGAGGGGCCTCCTCCATCGGCGCTGCACTCCTGTCTGTGAGGAGAACAGAGACGAGGCGCTCTTAGGGTTCAAAATCAATAGGGATCGAGATTTCAGCGTGGGCGCACTTGGCCTACTTTAAAAGTGTTTTCATATATAAGGCGCAACGCATTATAAGGCGCATTGAATAGAAGCTGCAATAGTGGCTGTGGTTGCGTTATGCATCCACTAGATGGTGCTAGAGGTCACAGATTCAAATCAATTGGTTTTCTCGTTGTTGACGGTCATGTGATTAAAATCAACAGTTTTGTTCTTCTTGGATGGGTCATCCCTTCTCGCTCGCGTTACCTGATGATTTGTGCACAGTCAATGCATTCCACCATGCGCTCGCTCCACTTGTCCCAAACCTCGACGGTGGCCATGCCGGCTTTGCTGAGGTACACGTACTTATCCACCGCCATGCGCCACACGTTGGCCTCGGCGCTGGGGCGAAGCCTACGGAACCACAGGTATCGTTACACTGGACCGTGATGGGGAGGGGGGGGGGGGGGGGGGGGGGGGGGGACAAAGTACAAATACTAAAGTACTGTAATTTTTTTTTTTTTTTGAGACTGTTGAGCCCAGTATAAATTTAAATTGTACATCACAAACTCTTGCCTCCCAAATTAACACAATGCCTTCCTAAAATCAATTTCAATTGCATCACAAAAAAAGAATTAATTCCGCAGCCATTGTAGAATGTGGCGCCCGTTCCCAATGTTAGCGGCTGGTAGCTAGCAACTAGCCGCTAAGCAACTAACCAAGAGCAAGAGTGGTTGGACTTCTTTCCAAAAGCGGTTTGATTAGCGAAAATGACGGCACACTTTAATGGTGACAGCATGACACACTTGCAGTTCATACTCATCATTTTTTGAACAAACCAGGATGACTCAAATGTGATGTTCTAGCTGGCAAAGTCGCTAGTGTGGGTCAGAATATCTTGACGCAAGGCAGCTTTAGTGATATCGTGCATTTCAATACGCAAGGTAACTCAACGTGCTTCACAAAATTAAAAGTACAACATTCAAAGGCATTGACAAACACAAGAGTAGAAGACATTTAAAAGCAAAGACATAAAAATCTTTGAACGACGTTAATAAGGGGAACAGAGCGGTGCATTTTATTTCTGTGAAATTATGGTACATGGATTTATTTTACATGAGTATTTTTTGGACAAGTTTGTACTTTTACATCCTACATCTGGACACAGATTCCATCCACAGAATTTGTGTGTGTGGAGTTTTGTAGACTTACGGGAGTGGTACGGTGTTCCGGGTGTCGATGTTCCGGCTCACAGTGTAGTCGGCACTGAAGGACAGGATCCTGGTGCCGCAGCCGGCCCAAACGCAGCGGCGGTCCAGAGAGTACGACGATGTGCCCAAGCACACCACGGGAGTGTTGACGGTGCCCAGGACCACCGATTTCACCGGCTGACCAAACTCCTAAGCGAAATGTTACGAGAACAGAGCCAGTATGTCACATGGGGAAAGAAGTGGAATGTTACAAGATGGTGGAAATGTTACAGGCAGTGCAGCCAAAATTGGGATTGGTGTTCAAACCTTGAGGGCGGAATCTTCATAGATGGCGAGAAGGCCATCTGCAGTGCCAACGAGCAAGTAGTTCTTTCGTTGCCTAAAAAATAAAAAATGAAAAATTCTCATCTTGGGCAGCCCAATGTTCAAAATTAGCCGGGTTTTGATGTCCGTTTTGTGGGCACTTACAGGCGTGGGGGGTTTACGTGAAAGTACAGCGAGGTGACGGCATCTGAGACATTTTTCAAGCGATACCACGTGGACGGATCCACGCCGCTGAAGACCACCAGAGAGCCCGATTGTGTGCCCCCGACCATCCAATCGGAAGCCTCGCCGGGAATCTGGACCGCCACCAGGCACAGGATGGGACTGCTGTCAATCTCCTGATTGGACAAGTTTCTTTTGTTAAAGTTGAAGAAAAGCTTGCAATAAATAGATGATAATCCATCGGGATGAGCGCCATTCCCTGTTCTGTGGTCATGGTCACAATTGTGGAGATTCATTTATTTATTTATTCTAAGGGAATAAATGAAAAAAATATAGAACATAGTAAAAAGAAATATTTTAAAATAATTATATAACTTAAAGACAATAGAAGAAATTAAGAAAAAGGAAAATTGAAAGAAAAAAAGGAAAAAGAACAATGTCCAAAAAAAAATCACTGAAAATAAAGAAAACAAAATGAAAAAATAAAAATCTTATAAAACTAGGAAAAAATAATAATAAAATGAATAAATCCATTAAAAATACAAAATGAAAAATAAAAGTAAAACAAATGTGTCACAAAATACATAATTACATAAAATCAAAAATAGGAAAGAAAATAAATTCAATTGCCATCGACTCCTTCAAAGTGCGCAAGGAGCTCCTGACCGGTCAGCGAAAACACAAAGAATGAAATTTGCAACTTCCCACGACCGCTTATATATGATCATAGAGAGAGGCTGGCGTGTTCCTTATGTTGTATATATAACTTAAAGACAATAGAAGAAATTAAGAAAAAGGAAAATTGAAAGAAAAAAAGGAAAAAGAACAATGTCCAAAAAAAAATCACTGAAAATAAAGAAAACAAAATGAAAAAATAAAAATCTTATAAAACTAGGAAAAAATAATAATAAAATGAATAAATCCATTAAAAATACAAAATGAAAAATAAAAGTAAAACAAATGTGTCACAAAATACATAATTACATAAAATCAAAAATAGGAAAGAAAATAAATTCAATTGCATATGATAGAAAATAAAAAACAAACATAAAAAAATGTATAAACCCAAATACATCAATGAAATATTAATATAAAATAAATGAAGGACAATCAATACATAATGTAAGAAATAAAAATAGATCAGAAAGAAAAAAAATGATAAAAGTGTAAAACTGCATTAAGTGGCTAAATAAATAAAAAGTAGAAAGACATGAAAAGAATAAAAAAGAAAGAATAAAAGAAAAACAAATCTAAAAAGTAGCAGAAAATGAACAAAATGTATCAAAAAAAATAAAAATTACAAGAATGAATGAAATAAAAAGGAATAAAAAGATAAACGCATTCAAATGAAAGAGATATAGTTTCAGATATCCCCTGAGATGACAAAGATTTAAACGCCACATTTTAGGCAGCCAGACCCTTTCCAATGTTAGAATACGATTCATTTCCTGCTCTAAACTTCTCATCACGTTTCCACTTTGCCTACAATTAACAAAAAAAGAATATAAAAAGCCCAAGGAAGGCAAAACATTTGCAGTCAATCCAATAGTTGCTGAGGTGTGCACACGTGAGTGTGTGTGTGTAGATTACCTGCGTGGTGACCCGGTTGGAGTCCAGGTCCACGGCGGTGACGGTTCCCGTCCTCTGGGTGCTGCGACCTCCTCCCAGCCAGGCCGTGCCAGCGCTTACGGCCACGCACTCGGCATGTACGGGCCTGGGCAGCGGCAGCTCCCTCATCAGACACAACATCTCCCCCGAGTTGAGCCGGGCAAACGCCTGACCGCAACACACAACCGTTGCAAATGTTGGGACAGTGAATCCCTCGTTCCAGGGTTTCGAGAGGTCCTCACCTGCGTGGATGTTGGTCGATCATGAGGATAAACGTTTAGACAGTCCTTCATCAGGGCTTGGAAGCCAGGCCAAGGCGAGCAACCGTAGTGCTTCACCGGATCTACACAAGCAATATCGATGCTGTTCAGCGTACAGCTGGAATGATGCTTCGCAAATGGGCTTGCTGACAGTATTTGTTTATTTTTTACCTGGCAGCTTGCCCTGCACGGCCACCTCGTCAAACTCGCTGGGGAACTTGACGCCGTCACAGATGCGCTCGCCGCCCGTCAGCAGGTCGTACAGGAGGAGGCCGAACGAGAAGACGTCGGCCTGCTGGTTGTACGTCGCGTTCCCTCTGGCGACCTCTGGTGCGCGGAAACCTGTACGATAGCTTTGCAATGAGCCTCCAGTGCTCGGATTTGTCTTTTTTGGTCTTTTTTGTTAGCCGACCTGGCGTGCCCTCCGAGCTGCGGACCCCCATGCTGCAGCAATATTGAGCAATGCCGTAGTCGGTGATCTTGGCGATGACGTCTGCGTCCGTCTTGAGGTTGAACAGGAGCACGTTGTGGGGCTTCAGGTCGCGGTAGATGATCATGGCCGAGTGGAGGTACCTGACGGAAGACAGCGGACCGCCATGCGAGATTGACTCACTCAGTGGCAAAGACGTATTTTCATGTTTTTTTTTTAACAGTCAAACGTTCAGGACAAAAAAGTGTCAAGTATGAGAAGAGTGGTAATGAGGCAAAACCACCAGTAGATGGCAGCAAACATTGACAACTCAATCGCTGGTACGGCTTTGATAAACTACCCCAAAAATCTGAATACTTCAACCAAGCAAAATTTGATTTTCATGAAACTTTGTGTACTTTTAGCAATCCAGCGTTGTAGTGCAACTTCCATTCAGTTAAATTGTAGCAAATCGTCCATCACGGTCTTCACGTGAAAGCGTCCGTCAAGAAGAAGCGGAACACGGCGGCATACCGTAATCCGTCGGCCACGTGCAGCGCGATCCTGTGCTTGAGCTTCAAATTTAGGCTTCCTTTCTTGTGCTGGAACAAGGAGTCAAGTGAGCCCCGCATGGCCAGCTCCATCACAAGGACGTGCGGAGCCGAGCTGGCCGCCAGCAGGCCCACCAGGCTGGGGTGGCGCAGGCGAGCCAGCACCACCAGCTCCTGGAGGAGGATTGGTTGGAGAATGGTGAACGTCAGGTGATGTGACGCCGCGTAATCACGGCGCGTTTACCTGTCGGAGGAGTCTGTAGATGTAAAGTTCTGAGGCATGCTTGTTGAATAACTTGACAGCCACCTCCTCGTTCTTGTAGACGCCTCGGTACACCGTGCCAAAGCCGCCGTCCCCTGTCAGTTCAACACATGCGATGCTCTTACTTAAGTCGTCTTTGTTCCCCAAAAAATTACTCTTGACAATACCGAAAGAAATATTTTTATCAGCTAGGGTTAGAGTCAGGGGGTTAAGATTTTATTGAATTTAAACTCAAAGTAGATGTTGACAGAAAATATATCTATGCCATATAATATATCATCAAATTTAAGTGCAGTAGAAGAAAATAAACCACTTGGGGACATTAACACTTTCATGCACCCTGTAACCCGATAACATGATAAACTGTCCGCTGTAGGAACCACTATCCCCGAAATGGTTAAAAAATAAAAAAATCAAAAAAAATTTTCAAGAAAAAAAAAATCCTACTCATTATTGACACGATTGTTCGTCTTAACACATCGCTTTCCTCACCGAGGAGGTTGACTTTGGAGAGGTCCACGTGCAGCTCGTCACTGTCCAGGATGGTCCAAGCCGGCTGGTCGCTAAGGACCGCATCCGGAGCAACCTGAGAGATGGGAACGGTGCAGCGAGGGTCCTCGGGGTTCACCAGAAGAAAGTCTGAAGACCCACACAAGCATTTCTTACACTCGGTCATCGCGATTTTTAACACGTTTCAATATCCGTGCTGGCCGCACCCTGGTCGAAGTGGGTGAAGAGATCCTCCAGCAGCATCTTGCTCCACTCGTGTCCGTCCTGGAAGCTGTAGAGAGCCCACTTCTTCAGGAGCGCCTCGCCGCTGCCATGCACGTCCGTGCTCAGCAGGCCCGGGAACCACTCCTCAAGCAGGGAGTCCACCTGGTCCACCAACTGGCCCAGGAGCACCCGGCCTGGCGGCAAAGTGAAACAGTGACTCCCACAATCATGTTCATCATCACGAGAATAATCTTGCAACAGAAGAAAAAAAAAATCACTACTTTGCATTCAATATGAAACACATTTTGGAAAGAGAGGACAAAACAAAATGTGGGAAGAAAAAAAATGAAATTAAAAAAAAAAAAAAATCACATGTAAATCAAGTTTTGCGTTTAAATTTTTTTTCCTACTTTGCATAAAGACTTGATAAAATCTTGTTTTGGGGAGAAATAAAATTCATGAGTTTATTATCCCTTTCATTTAATTTTCAGCAAAAACAAAAAACAAAACAAAACTAACAAAATTTCTTGCTGCTAGCTATATATTTATAATTCTGTATTTTATTAAATGGCTTTCTAAAAAAAAAAAAAAAAAAAAAAAAGGGACAAACCATAAATAAAATATAAATACATTCCACCCCCCACCCCCCCAAAAAAACCACACACGATCACAATAGTTCTTGTTCCTCCCGAATAGTAAAAAAACATAAAAACATGTATTTCTGAAAGAAATATCTCAAACTCAACAAGACTAACAGCCACACGGTGGAGTTGGGTAACGTGAACGCTCTTGTGTCTCCATGCGACGGATTGGCTGGTGACGGGGCCGCCGCATACCTTTGCGCGAGGACGGCACGGTGATCCGTAGCACGCTGGAGACTTCTTCCTGCCGCCACGTTGCCTCCACCAGGCAGTAGGCCTCGGCCGACCAGCTGAGGTGCACGCCTCGGTTCCAGCACACTTTTTCAGGTGGACACACTTTCTCTGGGAAAAACACACGCACACGCACACACACGCACCAGGTGAATGAGTTCAAGGGCCACACGAAGAGGCGTGACAGGCAAGCGTGCGTTACCTCTCCCGTAAAGCAAATAAGCGGAGACCTCCAGCAAGCGGCTGATCTGTCGTGGCCAGAAATCGGCGGGGAAGTACGGCATCTCGTATTCTCGCACGATCACCTCCGAGTTCTCGCAGTGAGGCAGCTCAATACTCGGCTTGTCTTTTGATAAACTGGAGGGAGAGAAAAAGTATTGTTGAATCATATAAAAAAGGTATCTATAACAGGCTACATTCTTTAGGTTGTTGATTTCATAGCATTTTTGAGGAGTTTACACATTTTTTTAAACCATTTATGATGGTATTAGTATTTTGTTCTGTGTTCTCGTAATACTCCGACGTTATTCTCCGAGCATAGATTTCTTCAAGACAGTGCAGGTGTACCTTATGATGTGTCCAATGTGGTGCACATCTGACTCAGTGTGTGTACCTGTTGGGCACAAGCAGCTGGTCTTTTCCAAGGGGTAGCGCGATCAGGAATTTCTCCAGAAGTTTCAAGTAGTGCGTGGCATGACTGCTGGGGAAACATTTGGCCTCTAGCAGAAAGTTTTCCACGGATGAGCGCTCAATGACTCCTTGGGGATGTTTCACTCCATCCTTGAGGGTCAGTTTCTGCACCCAATAAGAACAAAGTGTTGCTTTTAGATGACAAAGCACAAATTTGGAAAGAAAGGCCATCAGTTCATCCAAGTCAAATCCTTCACTTCACAGGCCCCCACTATCTCTTTAGGTGTGCCCCGGGGCTCTGTCCTGGGGCCCCTCGTCTTCATGATCTACCTCCTCTACCTTGGCAATAATTTTCCATAACTTTGGTATCCACTTTCACTGCTTCGCGGATGACACCCAGCTCTACCTCCCCAGCAAACCCGACGGCTCCCTCCCACCCTCCTCCCTCTCATTTTGCCTCTCAGAAATGAAATCTCGGTTCACCTTTAACTTCCTCAAACTCTACAGCGATAAAACAGAACTCCTCCTTGTCTGTACCAAATCCAGCTGATTCAAAGGCGATACTTTGCCCCTCACTATTGACTGCTCCACTGTGTCCCCCTCCCTTCAGTTTAAGAGTCTGGGTGTCATCCTCGATAGCTCACTGTGTCTGTGAATTTCCGTTCCCTCTCGCTGCCTCAAATCCTCCTCATCCCTTCACCTATCTGTACCGTCTGCCTGTCTCAGCACGATGGAGAGCAGAGCTTTCAGCCGCTCTTAGGTCATTGCGTTCTATTGGTTCACCACTAGATGGCAATAGATTCTACACACTGTACATTGAAATCACTAAAATAGGACGAACCTGCAAGAGGATGTTGCAGAGCCACTGCGGGTCGATGAAGTAGAGGTCCTGGAGCTGGAGGGTGGGATCGTCAAAGTGCAGTAAGACCCCTGAAGGTACACGCAAACAAACAAACAAAAAAGGCTTAACACTGAGGCTTTTGACTTTATTTTACGGTGATGAGCTAATGTGCCATACCAGACTCTGACCCAAGGGTGGGCATAGTAAGTTTCTGTTCCTTGATGTAGTCGACTAAGCATTTACACTCTCCAGAATGCGATAAAAATATTGGTTCATTTGTTTTTTTCCATCAAATTGGGCCATCCAAATGTTCTTAATATTTTTTAAACGTTCATTTCCCATTAAATGATTGTTTGAGTGATATATTGTAAATAAAATAAAATTTAAATACGAAAAATAATTTTACAAACATTGTATCGTAAATAATAAAATAAACAAATAAGTGTATAGTAAACTATTTTACCAAGACATTTTAATGAAATGAAATTCAATAATTGGCTAGAATTGAATAATAGGAGTAGATTAATTAATTGCTTTAAAGATAATTATAAATAATGAGACATTTTTACATGACTGTTGAAATTTACTTCTGTTGAATTTTTTTTTTTTAACCTCATATACGAATGACCTGGCCCATCTGTCAGCACAGAGGGTGCTAATGCACTAATTATTAGCAGCCTAACACTGACCGGCTTGGCTGAGAAAATGGATGGCGTGGGGAAGCTCCGCCTCCTCCAGCGGCAGCTGACTCTCTTGGATGAGCTCCAGCAGCTGGTGGCGCGTGAGGACGGGGAACTCCTTCGTAACCCTGGTCCTCTCCTGGAGAAGCCTGCGTTCCAGCTCGACGTAGCTGTCGGGAACCAGCTGGCCCATCACGGGCTGACCCTGGATCTGCCGGACGGAAGGAGACGGGGCGGGGAGTGGGCAAAACGCATTTGGACGGGATGACGTCAGCGTCGAGCCACCTTGAAGTCAGCGGCCTCCTTGGCAATGGCCTTGCGCAGCCGGACGACGGCATCTGAGTCGTCGCAGGCCGACACGGTGAAGTAGTTCTGGATGGTCGGGAAGCCCTGGTGGTTGAGCAGTTCCTCGCGGATCTTGGTAAGGCAGGCTTGGAACGCCACGTCATCGCTCACGTCCATGTGAGTTCCCACCAGGATCACCGGAGAGAAAGGAGCCACCGCCTGCAACAGGATGTGAAACATTTGGGACACTTTTAAAAAGATATATTTGCCTGTCATTCACGCCAATTACGGTCCGTTTTGTTTGCCCAGCTCGTTTTTTTTTTCGATGGTGGCCTGAAACAGGGTTGCCGTGGCCACCGGAAACATAGTGTAAATGTCGTATAAGTCATCTACTTCCCAACATTGATAACACATCTGGAATCACGAAATGTGACTTTGCAATGTAACTGCAGTCATTAATGTGTTAGATTCGGCGTGTTTTTGAAGAACGTGTTACTTTCTAATCCGTGACAAGCATCACTGTAAAAAAATAAAATAATACATTTCAGAACAGTTTTTATCGTTTCATTGGCTTGATTTAAAATGAAGGAAGGAGGAAGAAGAAAATGGTTTTGATTAAAAAAAGAGGGCGGTTTAATTTAATTTGGCTACAAAAAGGGGCGAGGTTTAGAATTCGGTCATGGTTGGCATGAGGAAAGAGGAGATTTGGGCTTGGCTTTGGGTTCTTGGATTTGCGGATTGAGGTCAGATGTGTGAGTGGGTCAGTGCGTTGCGATTAGGTTCGGAGGTTCGGTTCAGGTTGGTGGTTTCGCTTTATTCTAACCTTGATGTTGAAAAGCCAAGGCTTGAGCGCGTCCAGTTGCTGGGCTCCTCTGCTTAGGTCGTGCACCACCAGGTAGAGTGCTCTGGAGGACAGGAAATGAGGCTGCGAGCTGCACACTTCGTCGCCACCTGTTCACAACCCGGACAATTGTTCACAAGTGTTTAGGCCGGCAGAAAAGGCCTTGCCGCTGACCCTGACCCGCAAGCACGAGACGAAGACGCACCGGAGAAGTCCCAGACGTTCAGCACCATCTTCTTCTTGTCCCGCTCCTTGATGGTCCAGTCGCGTACGTCCACGGTGGTGCCGACCATCCGCCTGGAGGAGGCCTGCTGCGAGCGCTTGAGCTTCATCAGTTTACGGACCAGGCTGCTCTTCCCACTGCCGGCATTCCCCACCACAATGAGCTTCATCCGGTAATAGGGAACGGCCTTCTTCAGACGCTGCTGCAGAAACCTGAACAGGGGAGAAGGAATATTCTTAAGACAAGACAAACATACTCAGAAAAAAAGAAGGAATAAGATACAATTAAATAATGCAAAAGCCAAGATGGGACGGGTCGGTTCTGGAGGAAGAGCCCTTGAAAACTTCACTTTTCACTCCATTTCCAAATAGCCGAGTTCATATCCTCGTCGAGGTCCTACCTGACAATGTCTTTGGTTTTGCTTCCGATCAGTTTAAGGTCCAGCTGGAGTCGCAGGCCGTCCAGCGGCAGGTCCCAAAGTCTGCCCAGCCTGCCCATCTCGTCGGGAAAGGAGCGCAGTCCGGCGTTGCGGCTCACATCCAGAGAAGTGAGACCCTCCAGCAGACCGACCTCCGGCGGGATCTGATCCCAACGTCCATAAAAAAAAATAAAATTAAAAAAAAAAAAAAAGATCTTTTTTTTTTTTTGGGCTCCTTTGATTCGGTTGCTGCAGCTGCCCAACATTCATCTCACCTCAGTGAGCTTGTTGTTGCTCAAGTGCAGCTTCTCCAGTCGGCTCCAGTTGTGGACGGGGCCGCTTAAATCCAGCTCGTGGATGATGTTGTGGCTGAACATCAACTCGCGCAGGTTACTGGACAGCCACAAGCCCGGGCCCGGTAATACCGCAATGTGATTGGTTCTCATGTCCACTGATCTCAAGCTGCGGGTAAACAAAAACGTGATCGTTTCATTGCATGGAAAAAATATTGGCTGCACATTGACACTGTTTTGCTCCAGCCTAAAAAGAAAATACACTCAATATACAGTAACAGTGATCATAGATGAGTGATGATTGTTTGAAAAATAAATAAAAAGACATCACATTTAAATAAAAAATTTAAAATATAATAAACCACACCATACAAATACACAATTCACTATACTATCGTGGATGTCTTGTAACCCAGCCGCTGGGGGGCAGTGCCCTCCCCTGGGGGTGCACTGTTCCCCAGTGCCGGTCCCAAGCCCGGAGAAATGGGGAGGGTTGCGTCAGGAATGGCATCCGGCGTAAAACTTTTGCCAAGACGACCATGCGAGTTGGTAGGACGGTTTACAGGGGCGGATGGAAATTACTGACTCGCTGTGGCGACCCCTGAATAGGGATGTGCCGAAAGGAGAAGAAGAAGAAGATCGTGGATGTCTTGTGAAAAACACATATCTCCATTTTTGTCATGGTTAAAATTTTTATGTGATTGGGATGCCCGAAACGTGGGAAGGCCATTCACGTAAATTTTAACCATGACAAAAATGGATGTATGTGTTTTTCACAGAACACTGACGATAGAATGCATCACAAGTCAGAAGGTCAATGAAAATTTATTCATGCATTCACACTCACTTAGGCAGGCAGAGTATGGTATCAGAAACGACGGAGAAATTGTTGTTGGCAAGTTTCAGAGTGATGAGCTTTGCTGGGAGCTGTTCCAAGGAATCTGTAACCGATAATTATCTTGTTATGAGACAGAACGGGCGTACCTAATATTGTGTTTTCAAATCCAGTCACTCACCTATTTTGTTGGAGGAGGCGTTGAAGATTTCCAGCTTGGGGCAGCCCGTCAGAAAGCTTGGCGAGATGTCCGTCACGGCGTTCTTGCTCACGTCCAGCAGTTTGAGCTCGGGGAGGTGCGGCGGGGGCATGAGGAGATCGGCCACGTTGTTCCTGAAGACAGCAGCCAACACTCAACATCGTTCTGACATCCGAGAACTGTTAGCACCTGACGATTTAGGGTGGGGTGGGGGGGTTCCTACCCTTCCAACAGCAGCTCCTCGAGGTGCTGTGTGGCCCGCCCCAGCTGGCATGGGAAGGCGGTCAGCTTGTTGAAGGACAAGTTGAGCTGCCGCAGGGACGGACAGGCGGCCGAAGCGTCAAAGGTGAGGTGGGGGCCCACGCAGTTGCGCGAGACGTTGAGCGTGGCGAGCGCCGGCAACGCGAGGAGCTCCGCCGGAAGGGACTGAAGCTGATTGCCCTGCAGGTCCAGTCGGGTCAAGCTGCTTAAACTCTGCACCAGAAAACAGCAAGTTGAGGTTGTGAAGCTGAATTTTTAGTGTCTGTGTTTGATGGCGCGCTAGCTAACGTTGTCGACATGCCCTGCAAACTAATAATGGCAATCACCAATATTTTTTGCCATGCTCCGCCTCCAGGTGACAACAAAACTTACAAATGTTTCTCATTTTCTCTCGCCTGACTGTCAAGTTAGGTTATTGTTGTTCTTTTTTTGTCCATTTTTTTTTTTTAGAAAACACAAAAAGTTGAACCAAGTATTGATTACACTATATTTATTAATCATTGCATGGGTAGAATTGAATTACCTGTTTTTGAATGATCTGTGATTTTTTTTTTTGGGGGGCGGGGGTCAACAAATGACTTAGGCCATTATTTTAAGAAGGTACAGAGATATGCAGTTCAAATTTGGTCTTTCAGAGTAAAACAGAGTCTTGCTCGTAGTTTGTCTTTGAAGCACCCGGGCTACTGTAAGAGTTGGAACAGATTTTGCATTGCGGCTTATTGGCACCTGACAGAGCGCAGGGGGAAACTCCAGCAGGACATTGTGGCTCAGGTCCAGTCTCAGGAGGTGAGCCAGCTGCTGCTGAACCGGCCCGTGGTCCATCAGGCACAACAGGCAGTCTAACTCGTTCCCCGACAGGTCCAGGAGGCGGATCCTCTCCTTCTCCTTGGGAAGCGCCGATGAAATCTCCAGAGACCCGAACGCTAGAAATGAAATCCCACTCCACTGGTTTTCATTTGTGACAACTGGATCAAAAACAACATCGATGAAAATAGATGTGTTCAAATACTTTTTGGGTGCCTTCCATATCGTCTGTGTGCATGTTCAGTGTGTTCGCCATCAATTGGCCCACTCTGGGGAAAGAAATGTTTAAAAATGTTGGACAGAAAAATTATCCGATATTTCAGTATCCACAGAATGATGTGTTCTGTGATCATATCAATACTGAATGACCTCCCAAAAGAAAGGGCAGACTTTCTTCTTACACCAGAAACCAAAATAGTTTCCAGCTTTTCCGTTCTTTGGTAATCACCAATGGAACATGCGTTGATTAATCTTAAACACCGATTTCTGACCAAGCAGAACGGTGACTTTAACGCTAATAGATTTTGTTTTTGTGACACCTCAAACGATAGAACAACAAAAGCAAGACTGCGAAAGTTCTTTTGATGGCTCTTGCTCGTAGTTTGTCTTTGAAGCACCCGGGCTACTGTAAGAGTTGGAACAGATTTTGCATTGCGGCTTATTGGCACCTGACAGAGCGCAGGGGGAAACTCCAGCAGGACATTGTGGCTCAGGTCCAGTCTCAGGAGGTGAGCCAGCTGCTGCTGAACCGGCCCGTGGTCCATCAGGCACAACAGGCAGTCTAACTCGTTCCCCGACAGGTCCAGGAGGCGGATCCTCTCCTTCTCCTTGGGAAGCGCCGATGAAATCTCCAGAGACCCGAACGCTAGAAATGAAATCCCACTCCACTGGTTTTCATTTGTGACAACTGGATCAAAAACAACATCGATGAAAATAGATGTGTTCAAATACTTTTTGGGTGCCTTCCATATCGTCTGTGTGCATGTTCAGTGTGTTCGCCATCAATTGGCCCACTCTGGGGAAAGAAATGTTTAAAAATGTTGGACAGAAAAATTATCCGATATTTCAGTATCCACAGAATGATGTGTTCTGTGATCATATCAATACTGAATGACCTCCCAAAAGAAAGGGCAGACTTTCTTCTTACACCAGAAACCAAAATAGTTTCCAGCTTTTCCGTTCTTTGGTAATCACCAATGGAACATGCGTTGATTAATCTTAAACACCGATTTCTGACCAAGCAGAACGGTGACTTTAACGCTAATTTTTGTTTTGTTTTTGTGACACCTCAAATGATAGAACAACAAAAGCAAGACTGCGAAAGTTTTTTTGATGGAAAAATAATCTATTTACAGACACAACTTTGAAATGCGCGGAGAGCAATGCTGACTCACTGAGTAGTTCGAGTTAAACATCAATGTTTGTTTTTTTTTAACTCGTCATTCATCATTCACCCGATGAACCGCCAATTTTTTCTTGACACACACTTTGTACTGCCTACCGGCACACATTCTATATATGGCATAAACAAATTCTGTTCAAGTGTATGCTCCCCAATTCACGTGACATGGCGAAACGTATAACCTAATCTTGATCTTCTCTTCAAAAGCTGTGTTGATCTCAAATCCAAAGTGAAGCAACACTGCCATCTACAGGGATGTGTTAGTCACTACAAAGGTTTATAAACCGGAAATTCACAGTCAAGATGGGCAAAACCTCTTCCATGCCTACCCATTGATATGTATATGTTATATTTCAAGTACCTCCGCACTGGCGTGTCGGCGGCGTCCATGGTTCCTATTGAAGGAGCCCCACCTCAGCTCCTCTGTGGAGTTGTTGTGCGGCTTCAGGGAGACCCCCGTCAATGAATCGCTCCCTAGAGAACCGAAAAGGATCAATAACACGTCAACCGGGTGTGAGTAAATGCCATCCGTACCGTCACTCTCCATGTCGTCGAGGAAGAGGCCTTCGTCCACGGAGAGGAAACTGAAGCTGGAGTCATCGCTCTCGTCAGAGATGTATCCGGACGTCGGACAGGGGTCACCCAGAGACTTCAGAGGAGCTCCCGGGGTCCTGGAGCGCTGCAAGGAGTGAATGTAGCGTGCCAAGCCGGCTCCTTTACCTTCGAAACATAGAACGCACATTTCGTAATTGATGTGTTTTTATTCTGGGTTGTTCCCATCTCTGCCCAATTTTCGATCGCGACAACCTCGAGATCGTTGTGAAAACGATGATCATTTGACCGGCAAGAGTTGGGTGCTGCATCAGAAACAGTTGGAAGTTGAGGGTCGCCAATATCGGCGTTACTTTCCGAGTCCAAAAGTGTCAGAGGGGATTTGGCTGATATTGATGATGCAGAGTCAGTTTTAGTCATGACAAAAACCTTTCTGCAAGGTTCTGCGCTTCTGCCTATTGGCCACATCATTCTTTGTTTCTATAATTCCTCCTTGCCACACCTACTGGTAAATTACCCCATCTGATGTTCAGGTGTGCTTTCAGTGGAATGTAGTCTAAGTTCCTGTTTAGCCTTCTTACTGCTGCTGTAGCGCAGACTGTGCACCCTGCCTCGGTGGGCCAGCAGGGGGCAGAGCCAGGCGGCGTCCAGTCGGCCGAGGCGAAAACCACCGAGACACAAGGCGTTGTTGTTGAGGTCCAGGCCCAGACGGCCCAGCAGCTGGATGACCATCGGCCCGTCGCCGCGCTTCACGCTGACGGCAAGGGCCCGGCGCAGGTGCTGTTCGTGGGCACCTTGGCTCAACAGCAGCACCAGTTCTAGCGGGCCTCCCTTCTCGCACACCTGGACCACACACCCAATCGAAGCACGGGTCAGAATTTGGGTTATGGCCTCTGTGTATTCCAGATTTTCACCTGGGATGTGTCCCGGCCGATAAACGGGGGTTGGTATTTTTCCATTATTTGCGAGCAGAGAAGTTTGATAAATAGCCATGTAATACTGGTGTGCACACCTGGTAGATGAGCGACTCCGTTTTGGTCTTCTTGTTGACGTCGGCCCCGAGCTCGATGAGGCACTCTGCCATGACGGTGTCTCCGTCCTCACACGCCTTCTCCAGCATGTTGTAGTGCAGCTCCGAGTTGGCGCACATCTTGGACAGAGCCAAACACGCTGACCGACGGAGCTGTGGATATACAAACAGGGATAGGGGGAGTGTCCATTTCAGTCTCAAAATGTCATCTCTCTAATCCAGGGTTAAAATAGATTTGGAATTTTCATTATAGTTCATTTTTATTTTGTTTTGAGTGGTATTTTTTCAAGCTCAGTAAGCTTTAATTTGCTTTCAGAGCGCTCTAGTTTTTTTTTTTTTTTATCACTTGTATTTTTAAAATTTATTTTAGTATTAGTTTTTGTTTTTTCATTTTGCGTAGTTCTTTCATGTAAGACGAAACAAAAACTGTAAGTAATAATATTATTTAAAAAACGTCTTCAAAACAATCATCCACAAATCAAACACAGGGACTGTAAGAAAAGATTTTGAATCAGCAGGCGCATCATGGTGCTTCAAAAGTTAGATGCATCACAACCCTAATGTGTAAACCAAGATGGTCTCGCTTTCGATCCCTTTTTTGCCAAGTTGCCACTTTCTAAAGTGGATTTGTGGCTTGGATTCCTCTTGAGGAATATTAAACCCGGTGTAGAATATACGATATTTTTGACTCAGCAACAGACAGTATAAGGACCACAACTCCCAGACGACTGTTCGACCTTCCTCTGGCTAATGCCCGTGCCGCAGTACCGAAATAAAAAATAATAATTTTAAAATCATCCCCAGTCGCCAAAGATGAAACCAAAGGGCATTTTCAGTGCAATTATAGTTACTTTTAGGAGGTTTTGTAAACATAAAATGTCATTTCAGTTAGTTTTTGTTTTTAAAAATGCTTTTAAATTTTGTTTTGATTTGTTATTTGGTGAATGAAAATGTTGTTTCATTCATTTTGGTAAACTAAAAATAACCTTGCTCTAACCAAGTCTCTGTGTTGTGACATACTGGATTCTTGCCATGCTCAGGAATGTCAGACTCTCGGAGGTGCTGGAATATCTGACGGTCGAAGTCTTCCCTCTGCAGCTCCATAGCCGATCCTGAACAGGCATCCAGCATCCTCAATGCCACCTGGAAACACTGCGGAAGACACATGCAGAGTTTGTAAAAGAAAAAAATATATACTCCAAAATGTGTTGGCTTGAATGAAGGCACAAATTGTTTCTAATGTTTTCTCCCATTTTAAGTCAGTCTTTAATCGTCACACTAGAGTTGAAATCAAATGAAAATCTGTGACATTCGAAGGCACGTGAGCCGCAAATGATGCTGGATGCTCGATACCTTGAGCAGCAAGTCATAATCCTCCTTGTACTGGCCCAGTGAGGCCACCAAGACTGAGGCCAGGACGGGGACAATCATCCTGGAGAGCTTCTTCTTGGACACCAGGAAGCTGAGCAGGGTCAGACCCCAGTAGTGAATTTCTGTCGGATAGGAAGGAAGCATGAATTTTCATTTTATCTATTTATCTTTTGGACCAGGGATTATATGAGCGCACCTCGATCCTGCGGGAACATCTGCAGCGTGTGGAGCACCGTGTCAATGGCCCCTTGTTGGCAGAGCAGGTCCACTGCACCTGAGCAGTCAGCCAGAGCGGAGAGCACCTTAAAGCCGCACACCTGGATGGTCGGACACCTGATGAACTGAACAGACAGAAGAAACCGGTCCCAGAATGACAATACAGAGGCACCGCTGTCATATTGTGCCAGACGGTCATGACACTGTGGCATTTGTACCCTATTGAGAACCTCCAGGTAGACTGCATGCGCTCCCTCCACCACACACTGGTTCTTTAGGACCTTCAGGGACACATCGACCATGTCGGGGTCTGCCACCGAGGCGCCGTGCTCTCGTAAACTCCGGTCTGGGAAAGTTTAGCATGCCGCATGCAGCAGGAGCATTTTGACTTCAGGTCTACTGACTGAATCATACCTGGACAGAGGAAGACCAGGCTGGCCCGCAGGGCCTCCAGCTGAACCTCCGGCTGGAAGTTGTGGAACTTCATGACACTCAGGATCTGACCCACGGCCATGTTGAGCTCGTCCAGGCCGGCCGTCCGGCCCTGAAAGAGGAGGCTCAGCAGGCGGCAGGCGCTGACCGACACCTGGACCGAGGCTAGGTGCCTCTTCATCATCTCCGCCACATTGACATGGAGGCCGCTGGACAGCAGCGTGGAGCGCATCTTAGCTACAACACCAAAGTAAGATATTCCTTTAAATATAAAGTAATTAAAAGGTATCTGTGCACGTAGAGAGGACCCCTGTATATTTTCTGTCGGAACCTGCCGATTCACCTGTTTGCAGGCTTAAAAAAAAAAAAATTCATTATTTGTACATTTGCAAATTTTTTTGAGGGGGGGACCATGTCATGGTGTTATATTAAAAATGATCCGAGTAAAAATACATTAATTTCATTTTTTACATTTATATATCCGATTGAATGGGTGCAAATTGTTCCCGGATTTTCACTATTCATGGGGCAGCCCGGTCCCTATCCTCCTCCTCCTTTTTTACCATTGCCTGTGTATGCTTTGCGTGTTTGCTTTTGTGTATCTGTTTTGTTGCACATGCATTGTGTGTGTATTCATCCTGTAAGGCTTGAACATGCATGTTTCTATGCATTTCAAATATTTTTGTGCATTTTACGTGTCTTTGTGTCAATGAGTGTGAGCATTTTCTATGTAACCTTGTCACTAGATCGTCAACACTCAATGTCGAGTTTGAATATCCCAGCCACTTTGCCTTTGCTGCCTTGAATTCATGATAGTTATCCTGCCATGTCCGCGCATTTTTGTCTCCTGTCTGCTTCCTGTTTTCGCTCTCCGCATGCCAGCTTTGCATCCTGTTCCTTGCTTGCTTGGACTCAGCGCACAGTCACCTGCCACCAAACAAGAACTGTTTTCCTTCACCCAGAAACTCCCTGCACCATGTTTGTAAACACACAATCAATATATAAGCATCACAATCTGATTTCCCACCCCGAGTTCAGCATTTAGATCCTTCTCCCCATCTGAGATTTAAAAGTTGGTACTGTATGTGCGTTGTCTGAGTTCTTTCTTGTGCATTTGTAAATGCCGAATGTGTTTATACGTGTGTGTGTGTGTGTGTGTGTGTGTGTGTGTGTGTGTGAGTGGCCCATTTACGATTTTGCTTGACCAGCATGGCGATGGCACTGGTGGCGGCCTCGAAGACGGAGGGGGAGGACGAGTGAAGCAACATGGCCGCCATCAGCTGTCTGTGAACAGGAGTCCTGAAAAGATATGCACAATTTGGACCACAGAATGGTTATCAACTCTTGACACTTTACGAGCAAAAATGTTGAGTCACATCTCCTAATCAATGGATCGATAAAAAAAAAAAAAAAAAACTTTGGTCCATGAGGTGTATATGTAATATTGATGAAGAGTACCGATCATCCTGCTCCTCTTCTGGATGCCTCCTTCCTGCTCCGTGCACCAACAGACTGTGAATGGCCCAGCATGCAGCTTCCTGCAAGGAGGCATTGGGTTTCTTTACGTTTCATTCATTTTCGAGGATGGATTTGCTACGCCCGACCTGAACATGTGGATCTGCGGCATGGACATCCAGTGCGGTGCAGCAGACCCCCATCCAGCCCAGGTCTAAGTCCAAGTCCTCCACATGCTCCGAGCTGCCCCCGCGGTTCTCCTCCGCCTCGCCGTCCTCCAAACCCTGCTCGGCCGCCGCTCTACTCTGCACCATGCTGGATGCTAAAGAGCACAACGTCACACGTTTTCATGTAATTGCTTTGTCTATGTTTTGTGTGTATTTTGTATCTTTTGCACTGTACATGGTTTTAATGGTATTCGATTTACATTTAACCCGGCATTTTTTTTTTTAAGTGATCTGATGAAGAGGCAGTAGAATTTTTACAGTACAGAACAAAAACGTTCGTAAAATAAATCCAAATAAAGAATGAAAGATAAAAAAGATATTAAAAAACACAAGTATGCCATCTGATTTAAAAACATAACCCAATGCGCTCGAGTTTTGGGTTTGTTTTTTTTTTGGTTCAATGAAACTGTCAATAGTCTTGAATTCAGCTTGCAGGGCTTTCCATGCAGAGCCAGCGGCATAATGAAACACCTTAATTGAAACACCAGCTCTGTGAGGACGTGATAAACAGTCAAAGTAAGAAACTAAATTTGATCATAGGCTATGTTGTACTTGGTTCTTAACAAGGTCAAATCCAAGACACGATGGGACCAAACCAACCTGGTTGAGCCTTTAGTAAAAAGTCAGCCATTGAGTTCAAGCAGGTTTGGCCGTTCAGCTTTTTTGTATGAAGTGCAATAATGAGTCTGATGGTTCTCGTTTTGAATGTGTGCACGTGTTAATGAGTGTGTGTGTGTGTTTGCTTGTGTGGCCTCACTGAGGTCTGCCAGGCAGGAGAGGGCGGCGGCCTGTAACGTGGCGTTGCAGGGGAACGTCCGGCAGGCCCTTACCGCTACCCGGGTCACGCCGTTCAGCACCAGGATGTTGTAGTAGCTCTCTGAGTGGCCACACACGCGCAACCGTTCACACACGTACATGCAAACACACAATTGAACACGCAGGCGCAAAGAGATCAATCAAATCGACCTGCCCAATCAACTGACATGAACCTTTGTCACAATGTTATCCCAGTTCACGCAATCCAAACACGGAAGCCTCCATTGTCATACTTGATCTTTTTGTTCAACGCTGTTATCGCTGCATGTTATTGATTTACAAACACGCCACACCAACCCCCCCACCCCATCGCCCCCATGCATATTTATCATAGTAACGACACATGCATGTGGCTGAATGTGCTGTGGATTTTATTTATTTATTTATTTATTTATTATTAAGCACTGCAAGCTCACACCCAGATAGAGTAAGTCAAACCCAAGGCCCGGGGGGCCAGATCTGGCCCACCACATCATTTTATGTGGCCCGCGAAAGCAAATCAAACATGTCAACTTCTGCGATGATTGCTAAAACCTGTACCAAAATTTCAACTTCTCATATGTAATAAATATGCCAGATATTGTAAGCATTTTCTTGTTAGCAAACCCCTAATTCCACAAACTGAAACAATGGTTGAATGAACCATTATTCTTGATTTCTTGATATGTTTTCACAGTCATAACGGCCCTCCTAGGGAAATGCTCACTACAATGTGGACCGTGACAAAAATGAGTTTGACACTCCTGGCGGAAGCCAAACTGGCCAATTTCCCTCCCTCCCGCTTGCTGACATCACACACCACAGCCTCAAGGCCCGCCAGCTCAAGACAGATATCTAACACAGAGATAACAAAGTATTTTCTATGCATTTTATGCTTGGAATTTATTGTTTTCAAGTCATCTCGCTGTAAAAGGTGGCTTACAAGTTTTTTTTTTAAATTATTATATCACAAATTTATTTTACATTCTCTCTATATTGGAAATGTTCACATGGTGAGGTGGATCGGGAACTTATAGTATTCATTACAATCAACAGAATTTCCCGTACACTGCAAGAACTCTCATTTTATTTTGTTTTTCCACTTGCCAAAGCATGCGTGACGGACATGCTGAAGATTTTGCATCTTTATTATTCAAATCATAACAAACTGTCATTATTCTCCTGACCTGATGTGAATCTCCGGAACAGGCAGCACGCTGTCTCCTGGAGCTCCTCATCCTGCGGGAAGGCGTCCATGGCCGAGATGAGCGCACAATAGCAGCGAGCGCTGCCGGACATCAAGATCTCCACGTTACTGCCTGCAAGTAGACATCATCGTACTTTGAGAGTAAGGTCAATACATTTCAATTAGAAGACGTTAAGTAAAGTTAGTAGCCAGTGTTCTGTCATGTTTGGATATGATACATTGTCAAGAAGTACTGGGACACAGCTTGATTGAGTGAAAAGTAAAGAAATTGTTTCTTATCACAGCTTCTGCTCTTTCATGATGACTTTCTGTGGGAATTACTGTTAATGGGCTGGTTCCTGCCCACCAAACTCCTGCAAGTATACTTTCCCCACTCAACATTAAATTGTATGGATGCGTCTACATTTACACCAGGCCCGAAATTTGAAGTAGGTCATTTTGAATTAGTTGCAGAGCTTGTACTTGAATTCACTGAAATGAATCCCAATCAGAAGCTCATCCCAGATGACACACACAGGGGAGGAAGTCTCGACACTTTCCTGAGATGCTGTTTTTTTTTTTTGTTACTAACCCTGAGTGCTCGTGCGAATGTGCCTTGGGCACACTGGTGAAAACAATAGCCTTGAGTTCAATTAAACACACCCAGATTTTACCAGACGTACAAATATGTGTGACTCAAAAGTTGGCATGCACCGAACTAGACAGTTAGGCGACTTGCGAAGCATTTTTGCCTCCGCCATTCGATGTTGGGCGGAGCATTGTGGGAGGAAACCGGAGTGCCTGGAGAAAACCCACACAGGCACAGGAGAACATGCTCCACACAGAGAGGCCGCAGCCGGAATCGAACCCTGCACCTCTGCTCTGAGAGGTCACTAAGCACTCGACCACCGGGCCGCCCGCCTTGATGAGCTCCAACTAAGGAATTTCCCTAAGTGAGCCCCGAACGAAAGCAATTAGCACGGGCCGATTTGCAACGCTAAAATGTATAGCTTATGTCATTTCCTCATGTTCTGCATTATTTCAGCAGGATATGAGTGTGGGAGTTCATACTTGATGGATAGGCCCAATGTTCCCAATGCGGTGCAAATTATATGTTTATCAGTTGTTTGTGCCCTTGTTGCGGTTCAAGACGCTATGTGTGAATTATTATCATCATCCGACCAACTTTTCTAGAATTCCAAGTCGCCTAGTGGTTTGCGACCTCATAGAAAGCGAGTGGGAATAAACGCCATGACACAATCGGTGGGGTACTTTCCCACACTGTGTAAATCAGAGTCTTCGTCAAGCAAAATCGCAGAGAGCGGATAATTAATTACATTTGTGCGAGGCTAAATAAGTCCCTGCATTACTCAGCAGAGACATGCGCTTCCACACAGGGCAATGTGAACGTAAACATATTCAAAGAGGACAGTAATTACACACACATGGGAGCCAGAGAAAAACTGAAATTTGCCCCACCCTTACAATAGTAGTTTATCAATGGAAGTCATTATGAGGACCGAGGCAAAAAGAGTTGAAAATAGAGCCGCCCGTTAACGAGGCAACGAGCATTAGCATTAGCATGGCACGCACACCTCCGCATTCAAGTATTCACGCCAAGTCACTGAAAAGCGTGAGGCGGCGGTTAAAAACTGTCGACATGTGCTTTTGACACATATGCCAGGCAAGTCAAGTTATTAACACCCAGGTTGGCTTCGACAGGTCTGGAAAATTTGCAAACGCGCAGCCTGCCATGCGCTGGTATGGAAATCAGCCTCGGTCGCATTTGCGCATTGCAATAGATGTGCTTTCTGTGAAACCAGAGCCCTTAAGTGCTTGCTGGATGTTTTGTTTTCGAGGTAGTTGACTGGGAGCCAAACTCAGCTAGATTTACATTACGGATGCCAGATGGCAACGAAAAAAAATGCGTTGCATGTCGGCCAAGCTTGTCGCAACTTCACGTTTAATGACAAACTGACAGATTGACAGGCTGCTGTAAGAGTTCCACAATATGTATACTTGATGGTATTGTGGTCATAATGATTGAGGAGGGTCTTACTGGGTCTTGACAGGGGGAGGAGAACCTTCATGGCCTGAAGTAGCAGCATTGGGTTGCCGGGGAACCCATGTAGTGCAGCGAGAACCACCAAGTGGTCTTGGTTCTCCACAAACTCCACCAGGTGCTCATCACTTACTGCAACATCACAATAAATTCGTGTAAAAAAAAAAAAAAAAAAAAAAAGAAAGAAAACGAAAAAGCTGTGATGTATTCAATATCAGAGGCATAAAATAATTTAATACAAAATGTACTTTTCTTGAAATACTTCCGTACTAATAGTCTGAAGAAACAGTCATGCGCATGACTTTTTGCCAATCATCTGCTTTAAGTGTAATGCGTAAATTTCACAGTTGCTGAAAATCTGTTTATTAAAAAAAAAAAAAAAAAAAAAAAAAGGTAACGTGTGAGCTTTATAACAACAAAAATAGCATTTATTGAAATTCTGTCTGCTCCACACCTAACATTGCATTCCAAAGGTGGCAACGTATGGCTGATGAATACAAAGTCATGAAGGTCGGTCGGCTTCATTCTTGACATTGTTGTATGGCCCAATGCATGTTTTTTGTTTGCTTGTTAAGTTTGACAGCATTGACAGAGCATGGAAAATAATCTGTTGTCACACGTCGAATGAGCACGACCAATCACTTCAGACTCACCTCGATGAAGGAGCGCCTGCAGAGCTCGACAGCCTTGGAGCTGCACCTCCTCACCGGTGGGGAAAGCCTTCATGGCCCGCACCACTAGGCCGAACACGTCCTCCTCCTCGTCTTCCAGCAGCAGCAGAGCAATGGCATCTGCGTGAGAAGGGGAAAAAAAAAAACACGATGATGTCTCGTGTGCTCCAACAAGTCAAGTTTATTTAAAAATTAACAAAAATTTAGATGAGCAGCAATTTTGATGAACAATCTTGAGTACTTTATTGATCAAAGTACCGATAGTCATTATTATCATTCTGGTCGTAATGTTGCAGCCCTAAATTCCACCCAGGATTGACATGTCGAGAAATATTTATCACGTAATTAATAGTATGTCCTTGGACAAAATCCAAAATTCTTATTGCTCTAGGTTTATGTTTATGTTCTTGCCTCAGTTATGATTCAGCGCTGTGAACTCTGCTTAGCGACAAATATCAGCAGATGCATGACCTGGAAAAATATTATTTTCGTCAGCGGGAGCACATAACTCCTCCTCTGGCATCCCTTCACTGTCTCCCCATACATTTTAGAGTTCTTTTTAAGATCCTGCTATTTGTTTTCAAATCTTTAAATGGCCTCGCCCCACCTTACCTCTCTGAGCTCCTCCGCCCCTGCCCGGTGCCTCATGTGTGCGGACCAGACACTATTGATTTTTAGTTTGACTGTTTTTGTGCTTCCTACTGTATTTGTTATTATTGTTTGTTGTCATCTGAATGATTTTTGCTCCACTAGTCTGTAGCTCTGGTTGTTTTAAATACAGTCGAGTTGAGTTGAGCGGCAAGATTTGTCTCAACAAAGGAAACGTTGTGTGCGGACCAGACACTATTGATTTTTAGTTTGATTGTTTTTGTGCTTCCTACTGTATTTGTTTTTATTGTTTGTTGTCATCTGAATGATTTTTGCTTTAGTCTGCAGCTCTGGTTGTTTTAAATACAGTCGAGTTGGGTTGAGCGGCAAGATTTGTCTCAACAAAGGAAACGCACCAGACAGTGAGAGCATTGTACATTTCCACAAGCGAAATAATTGAGCACCCTTTCTTAATTAAAGCACTTGAACAAATGGGAAACTCCCAGATTAAATGTAAGCTAATTGCATTTGGAAAGCGTCTTAATTGTGCGGTTCAATGACAGCGCCTGAGGCTTAATGGTTGTTTTGCACGTCGAAACACATTAGTGGCCAAGAATTTGTTGAATGCATTATACGGCATGTGAAAATTTGTGCGGACGGAAAGATCTTGTTCAGAAGTATATACGAAGCGGGAGACATTTCCTGCTGTTTAAACAATTGGCCTCATTCATCAACTAAACAAATGTCATGTTTAATTTATGACATTAATAAGCATACTTTTAGGCTAAGCAAGTCAAATTTCACTTTCACATTAATTGTACCTAGACGTAACTTAGCTCATGTCACGTCAAGGTACAAGTTATTGCTTTGTAAAATGTGCTATACATTACATAAGGTTACATCTTTAGTTCCAATTACTAAGATAAATACAAACTACTTCTAAGTTACTTGCTAGGTTACGTCTTGGCCTAAGTTACTTCCAAGTAAAAGTTACTGCTACATTACTTCCTGTGTACTTTGTAGGTAATCTTTTCGTTCAATTTACTTACTACTGCATGCTAATGCTACTTCCAAGAGACTGTCATGTTGTTTCCTAGCTTAACTTTTAACTCAAGTTACAACCTGGTAGGCTACAACTTCCATCTCCAGTACATTGACTTTCTCGGTTGTGTACTGGCTCAAGACACTTCAAGATACTGTACAAGTTTTTACCTGGTTTAACTCATTTTTACTGTCGATAGCTTCCTAAGTTAGGCTTATGTCTTAGCCCTGGTCACTGACAGTTACAAGTTACTTTGACCTTACTTCCTAGGTGACATCTCAGCTGAAGTCACTGCTTGGTTACTTCAACGTTACTTTGAAGTTACGTCAAGTTACAATCTATTTTTATGTGTTACTTCCTGGGTTACGCATTGGCTCAAGTTACTAACATGTACAAGATGTTGCTGGTACAAGTTGGATATAATTTCCTACTTGTTACTCTTTGCTCCAGTTACTTCTAGTTACAAATGACGTCTATGTCGCTTCTAAGGATTGTGTCTTAGCTTAAGACAATACGTGGTACAAGTTACGTTTATGTTCTTTCCCAGGGTACCTCTAAGCTTACGTTACTACGTGGTACAAGTTAACTCGTTTTATGTTTGCATGACAGTAAATAATATGCTACTTAAAACCTTCCCCGTGTACAGAAATTTGAAAGGTGTATTTGCACTATTTTAGTTGTGCAAACAATACCAGTCTATTAAAAAAAAAAAAAAAA